ATGAGTCGTATTTCATTTTGCCTGCAGAACTGCCACTAACTGACACTTTGGAAACAGAATCTCTGTGAATTTAGGTCCTGCCCTACAAAGAAAGCTTGTGGTGGGCACTGTCTTTCAGAATGCTTTGTGGTAACTCTCAACAGAATAACCTATGAAGAAGGAATGATATTTCTGGTTTCACCAAAGTCTGGTAGCATCAGTTCAAGGGAATAATCCTACATCTCACACAGTGATGGACAGGCAATGATGTAATTTTACAGTTGTGATTTTTAAAAATCTTGTGCAAATTTCTAGTCACTCAAAGATTGTTTTGAACTGGAATAGGTGTAGACACTGTAAGGCATCACTTTGTCTGTCTTGGGATAGGAGAGCAAAAGGGTTCAGCTTTTTGACTTAGCAAAATGGAGGCTAAGATGATTACCAGCTTCCTCCCGTGGAAGGCAATACCAGGGCTATTTAAAAAAAAAGGACAATCCTGTTGTCCACATAGGAAAGAGCATCATCTGGATTTGAGTGTATTTGAGCAGGAGACTAAAGGGAGCTTTTTATCTGTGGGAAGCATAAGGGTCTGGAGCATGCTTCCATTGTGGGAAATTTGGATGGAAAAGAGAAAGAGTTTCGAGACTGACCTTGATCAGTTGATGGTAGGGACTTTATCCTCATATGGTAGAGACTCAGCTATGATGACCCTTTAGATCTCCCTTGCCTTCTACCTCTTGTCTCTCTAACACTGCGGAGGTCTCTAACGCTGCTGCAGAATTGCAGCATTTCTGTAAGAGAACAGAATGTGATGAGCCCTTCTTTGGAAATGAAATTTTGCCATTAAATAACTTTTGGGAAACATAAATTTGAAGCCTGAAAGACGAGGGGCCTCTTTATGTGAAATTTAAACTTTGATGGGTATTCACCTCTATTTGGAAGTTAAAAATTACCAGTTCGTTTAATTGTTGGTTTCTTCATTTACAATCTTACTTCTACACAGCTTGCAGCTGTGGCTGGAGCAACATTTTCTCTCAGCCACAATGATTATGAGAGCCATAGAAGTTACTAATGCGTGTTGTGGCTGACTGAAGAATCATGGAAAGCCATCTGCCCTCTTTCTTGATACCCATACAGACATTTTCATAGAGATGCTGAAGATAATGTAATACTTTGATCTTCATAATTAGGATTGTTCTTTTACTGGTAGCGCTTTAATTATCTGCATGTCAGAACCAGTTGCTTTGCATATGTTATTGAGACTGAGTCATCATTATTAAAAAAATAAAAATTATTTTCTCACAGGGTGTGATTCCTTAGTCATATTTTCCCCATTAGATTGTTGAAATGCACTTTTATTCTTCTCCTATGAGATGTTTATTGCTGATGTGCTTTAACGCCAGAGGTGCTGATTTTATATCTCCTTCTCGGCACTGTTGCATCACAGCATCTGACCCAACAATTTGAACATTTCCCAATGCTATAATTTCATACCATCAGCAGACACCTTTTCTCTGTCTCTCTGGCCCTCTCTACTTTTTTTTAATAGCTGTTCTAACTATGCTTACAGCTGTAACTGTATCACAAAAACTTAACCTTTAGACTTTCTATTCTCTAACTCGCAGGCATTTCCATGTCTCCTGCGCACTTGTGGTCCACCATCCTGTGGACACAGCTCCTTGGCCTGAGATGGCTAGTGAGTCAATTTGGGCATACCAATTTACCCCCCAAGCCAAAAGAGCAAGGGCTCTTAAGGTGCCGATAGCATTCATAACCCTTGCAATGACAGAAAAAGGTCAGACATTTTCTGCTGTAGAGTACAGAGGCCCCTCAGCCACCTGAAGAGCCTGGTAGAGCTTTGGAATGATATCTTCCCCTGGAAGACTTTTTGCTCATAATGCACCTTATGAACCTCTGTAAATCAGAAAAGTTTGTTTGAAGTAAGAGTGTTATGAAGCCTTTCCAAGTGCTGTTTACTCACTGGTGAAGTTGGATGCAGAGCCACAAACAGATACTCAAAACTGGCAAAAGAACCAAAAGCAGTCAGTGGTTTTCACAGAAGCTATGATGCCATAACTGGTTATATGTCTTTAGTCACACCAGAGGGAGAGGACAACCTCAGAAACAACTACCGGCAATTAATTGTTCTACAACAAATGAGTCAACTGTGATCTTGGTAAGAAGAGTGCTACTCCCAGGAGTTTCACCAGGAACTCCATCTGTGCATTCCTCATCCGTCGCCCATCACCCTGCAGTATCACTCACCTGGGCATTTCTTCAGGCCCTGCAGAGATGAAAGGTTTCCATTGCCCCAGATTCTGTCCTTATTTTTCTCTTGCATGACTCCCTGGGATGAACCCTTATACCTTACACATGCGTAGACCTACAGAAAATCTTAATTCTACAGCCTAGCTAAATTGCTATTCAGTAGTCCTTCCTACCACTGAAAAAGGAAAGGTTTAAAAGTAACTCCCAAGAGAAATTAAGCTCTTCCAGTACAGCAATCCTCTCCTGTTCTCTTTCTCTCTGCTAGCTACAATATGCTGTTATTATCAGTGAAGTTAACTAATTGAATTGAATTCTGAATTCCTCCCTGCCAAGCCCTATTTTTCTTTCCTGTAGATCTTTTCAGAATGATAAATAGCTGTATTGCTTTTTCAAAGAACCGTGGATGAAGTGCAGCGAGTGCCAGGGCCAGACAGTGATCTCAAGACAGCTGATTGAACATATGAGAAGGTTTCTGGAGCCTGAAATGGAGGCCATGAGACGTGCTGGGCGTCTGGCACGCCTGCGGCATGTTGCCTGCAGTTTCCCCAGACAACGCTTGCCCCACGCTTCGACGTAGGTGAGCGCCGCAGGAGTCAGTGGGGACGGCGAAAGGCGTTGGACTGGCAGCAGCAGGAGGACTCCTTCCTCTCCTTTCAGTCTGAAGACTTTGCATGGCTTTGGTTTTGCAGATTTAACATAAGACTCTGCCTGGTGCTGCTGATTTCACAAACACCTTACACTCTTCCGAATTAGTTCAGAAACCGGGAAAGACATAGTGCAGCTCTGGTGTTCCCTTGCATTGTCTGGGTGTGTAAGACTGTGTTTTTGATCATTCTGATACTTCTCTGTGCTTTGGGAAGATTGGAAGGAAGCAAAATAACCTTTCAGTGCTTATTTATATCACTAACTGTAGTTCAAGTTTCCATAATCCTGCCTAGAAAGAGAGGTCTTCTTAAGCTGTGTTGGCGATGTTAGCTACAGCTGAGATGTGAATGCATTCTGGCAGCCTTTGGAGATGAAAGTCCTGTTTGCATTTCCTTTATATCACTTTCTGTACTGTTAAAACCCAAAATGAGCTTTTTTTCCTTTGGAGAAGGGGTTTTGTTAATACAATTTCCTGATGCTGGACTGAAAACAGTCAGTATGGAAACCTGGTTTTTTGACATGAGTAGAAAGCATCTCTTCTTTGTGGATACTTACTGCAGACTGCAATTACAATATTGTGATGGCTAGGCCAAGCCACATGATTACTGAAAGAAGACCTGACCTAAACGATACGCTGGTAGGCTGTTTGTGGTGAGCGAAACTTTCCTTTCATTACCCTAACAGAACAATACCCTCAGTCTCAGATGAAACAGCCAGTACTAGAGCCCAGATCTGACAGGTGGAGAAGGGAACAAGGGGCACTTACAACTGCGTGGAACCTGGCAGATTTGTGCATCTGATGCACAGTTAGAGATTGAAGAGGGGCTTCACTGTCACCTTCAGAAAGCAAAATATGTGTGAAATAATAGCTGTTCTAATGTAGTGTTGCCCTCTCATCTCTAATTTTATTGCATATTTTATCTTCTTAAGTAGAAAAATACAGAAAATACTTTCAGTGGGTGAAATGTGTCTTTTGTTCCTCTTAAGGCGTAGTATCAGCCAGCTGAGTGTACTGACAAAAACTGGGTTCTTGGTATTGTATTGATGTTTAAACTGAAATTTCTGTCATAAAACACAGAAATGTTTTTGATGCAGGACACTGAAGGGAACAGGCACATTGCCTTGTTGGCTGTATTTCCTAACAGAAGTTAGCAATACGTCATCTTCTGCATAGTAGAATGTGTAGAAATGCTTGATGTCAGGAAACCCATAGGCACTGGAACAGCCTATACTGAGTCACACCTTCCCACGGGAGCTCTAGCTACGATGAGCTGAGTAAAGCCAAAGACTGATGGACTCAGATGAGTCATAGTAGTGGCACTGAGCATAGTTTAGTACATTAACAGTTACTTAAATGATCTTCAGAGAGTTACCCATCATTGGTATTTTCTTTCTCCTTTCACTCACATCACGCAGAGTGTCTGCAGTGAAAAGCAGCAAGGCAAGGGGCCAGAAAGGAATCCGTTAGTGGCCATTAGGAAACAAAATGGTAAATGGTTTGTAATTTCACAGGAAGGAGAAAAATTGTGTGAAGAATGGATTTCTGTTTTCAACCTTCTACTTCTTGCTGTTGAGCAGAGTTCTGATGGTCTCCCCTGACTGACAATTCCCACAGGCAGAGCTGGGAAGATGTCACACGTCGCACAGCCTTCGCACAGCCGTGCTCAGGACTAGCGACATTTCCTTGAGCTCAGGGATGCTGTCTCAGTGTGGTGTCTGTTTGCTTAGTGCAAAATAGATTGTCTGGAGACTGTGTTACAAAGTACCGTAGGACAACCTGTATGTGATTGGTTAGCTTGAGAAATACCTGTTCAAAGTTTGTTAAATTAAATTTCTCAGACACACTCATTTGCATTGCAGAAGTAAAGTTTTATTAAAGGCAGTGTTATCAGCAGAATTTAAGCCCTTAAACAAAGAACACCTTGACGAAGACAAGTTGAGTAAGAGGAGCATTGCAGAATGAAGAAGGGGTGATGAGGCAGTGACCAGGCACTCCTTCCAGATTGTTCCAGTTGCATCAGCTGTGCTGCAGAAGTGCTCGGTTCAGTCTCTCCTTGTCCACGTTCAGTGCATCTCAGCTGGGGGACGCCAGCGTCACTGCTATTGCTCTAGCACACTCTTGACTGTCCTGTGTAAAGACAGAGCAAATCGTTGCCTTAAGGGGCAATCTGATCTTTCCTGCTGAACTGAATTCTTTCACCTAACTTGGTGTGTTAGCAAGAGAAGCTCAGAGCCTCCAAGCCCAGCAATGGCCGAGGCACTCAGGCCTGTATGTTTTTTTTATCCCAATCAGCAAAAAAGCATATCCATCCTGTAAAGTGTATAATCTGTATTTTATACTTGGGTAGAGGGAAGGGGAGACTTACTGTATTTTAACCCCTGATTCCTCTGTGACAGAGTCAATGAGGTTCTCTCACGCCTCGGTTAGTGGACCTGGGAATCTTGCCCAGCCCAAAATACAAAACTTTTTTCTGGCAAAATATGTTGTAGTCATTGAGGTAGATGTAACCCACTAATAAACATATCCTTACAAAGTGCTGTCTTACCTGTCATGTCACCACACTGGGAATGAGAGTAGGAACTAGAAGAATATGAATGGGAGGACTTTCCACCTCCTTGGAAAGCTCCTTGGGAGGCACTGTAAAAGGAGAGTAAGTAATTCAGCATAAAACTCTAACCACTGGATAATCAGTCAAAAAGATGTTGATGTCACTCCATGGACAAGAAGTCTCTAGTAGTAATTAAGTACAAAAGGATTTCTTTTTGTTCCCTTGCTAGAAGATGGAATACGTACACAATGTCTTGCTGTCCCTCCTGCAGCAGTGCGCGGTACTGAGCGATCTCCTGTTCCAGGCGGGTCTTGATGCCCAGGAGCATCTTGTACTCCTGGTTCTGACTCTCCATCTCACAGCGGATGCTGGCCAGCTCCTCCTCCACGGCGTTAATCTGCACTTGGATTTGTTGCAGCAGGCAGCCGTAGCGAGATTCGGTTTCTGCCAAGGAGTTTTCCAGAGAGTTTTTCTGGAAGTGGAAATGCAGGAGTTTAGGACCAGAGCTCTACCCGTGCCCGCCCGTTCCGAGGAGGGAAGGGCCCGAAGCGCTCCTGGCCTGGCTAGCGGGC